TGCTAAATGAGTTCAAGAACTGGGAGGACAGCTGGGAGGTACCAGTCATCAGGTGCAATGGTGAGGCCTGGACCATGGCGTCGGATTCTTTCTCCATGGCTGGCCTCAGCACTGAGCTGGACTCCTGGGGGGCAGATGGAAGGCCAGTGTCGGCCCCTTGTCCTGTGAGGCAAGATACGGCCCCGAAGGGAGGGCAAGCCCAAGGCCAGTGGAAGTGCCCAGGGCCTGAGGAGTCCACAGGAGTGAGGGAGGAAGCGCATCCTCTTGCATGAGAGGCGGTTTGGGTTGGAAGTGGGCTGGGCCAGGCGTCCTGAGAGGCCCCTGGCAATCACCTCTGCCTGCCTTGTTAGTAAATAGAAATATCTGACAGCCAGTTACATTTGAATTTCACATAAGCAACAAGTCATTTTGTCGTAGAGGTAGGTCCCAAGTATTGCACGGGACATACCAGAACAGGATTTGGTCTCCCTAAAATTCAGATGTAAGTGGGCATCCTGTAGTTTATCTGATAGCTGTCACTTCAGGACCCCTCTGTTTCAGGAAGGCTTCTGCTAAACTGGAGTCATGTGTAGAAAGACCAGAACGTTTGGGGCGTTAGCAGTGGATTTCCCCATTTTTTAAATTTTTCAGGTGATTTGAGGGGACACAAGGGAAAATGGGCACTAAATGGGGGCCGCAGATGGGAGGGAGTGTCGGAAACATAGGTCTGGCCCAGGACCAGGAGATCAGCAAAGATGCCTCTCTGCAGAGGGATGGCCGCTCTCTTCCCTAGCAGGCACCCCACTAAACACCAGGAAAGACAAAGGTCTGGCCCTGCCCTCAAGGGGTTTGGAGGCTGATTTATCAACAGATTATTTAGCAAAGAGTCAGACACGCTGAGAGAAGCTCCCCTAGAAGACAGAAGATGAGAGGTGGCCTCCCCTGGATGTTCCTCTCTCGTTTCCCTCATCAGTCTAAGGTGGAAAACCAGATCTAGCTCCATGACCAGTGCCTTTATCCGTCTTCTTGACAATTGATTTTATCCTCTGACTTCTTCTTCCCAGTTTTGAATCATCCACAGATTTTATCAGATGGTCACCAGGGTCCTCATCCAAGTCATTAATAAAAATATTCGGTAGATTAAGATAGAGCCCTATGGCACTCTACCAGAAATTTGCCTCAATCTCAAGTGGACTCCCCACTGAGTGTGGAGCCGAACACCAGGCTCGATCTCAGGACCCTGAGATCATGACCCGAGCCAAAATCAAGAGTCAGACACTTAGCTGACTGAGCCACCCAGGCACCCCCGCCCTGGGCTGATCTTAATCAAAATCCTTTTGTTGGGGCGCCTGGGTGGCTCAGTCGTTAAGTGTCTGCCTTCAGCTCAGGTCATGATCCCAGGGTCCTGGGATCGAGTCTCGCATCGGGCTCCCTGCTCAGCGGAGAACCTGCTTCTCCCTCTCCCACTCCCCCTGCTTGTGTTCCTTCACTCACTGTGTCTCTCTCTGTCAAATAAATACATAAAATCTTTTTAAAAATCCTTTTGATATAAATGTTTAACAAGCTACAAATTCCCTTCCTCTGCTGTCATGTATCCCACACATCTCCATGAGGATGTGAGGCTTCTTTTTTTTTTTTTT